CGGGCTCCGTGCTCAGTGTGGAGTCTGCTTGAGATTCTCTCTCTCCCTCTGCCCCTCCTCTCACTCACGCTCTCTAAATAAATAAAATCTTTTTTTTTTTTTAAGTGAATAAAACTTCACACAACAAAAAGGCATCCTGTGAATGTCATCATCACATCAGGATTAAAACAGCAGTGTATATGAGCAGGTTCATACGGTGCCATTTGCCCACAAGACCACCGTGAAGTGTTAAATAATGTCCAAAGATCTTCCAAACATAAAAAAGGAAGTAAACCTTGTAGTTTAAACAACACTATTATTATTTGACCTTCAAGTTACATGTAAGTCCAAAGTCCTTACCTTTTTCAAAGCACAAGCCTTTATTACTTTCTCGTATCGTTCCTTTTCGTATTTCTTCCCAAATAAAATGTTACTCCTCACAGTTCCCGAAAACACCCAGGGCTGCTGAGAAACGTAGGCGATCCTTCCATGCACGCTGACCAGCCCCTGGCTCCGGGGCAGCTCCCCAAGAACAGCACTTAACAGTGACGACTGAAACAGATGGTAAACAAGTACGTGTGTGCAGAAGCACCCAGCACAGAACTGGCCACTGCCATTTGCAGGCTTCCCCAGCCCCGGGGCTTTGATACACCTCAGAGCTCCTTCCCTTTCAGTACAATAAGTACAGCCCTGGAAGATGCAATCAAAAATTTCAACACTCATAAAATAGAGTATCACAGCCTCCTCTGCCCAATGGCGTTTCCCCCAAATGAGAGGTGGTACTCAAAAGACTAAGAATGTTGACCATTCTCAACAGAGGAGGATGGTGTGATGTGCACTTTGTAAGTCTGAGGTTTGACGCAGGTGGCCCTGCCCCCAGGCATCCTTTACTTGACAAGATACTTGTTCCTGGAAGGCTATGTGTAAATCATCTATCCAATGCATAAGGCTCACTCTGAAGTGAGTCAGGTTTGCAAAGAGAAAAAAACCCATCATAAGAATCGCCCCAGGGGCGCCAGGGTGGCTCAGTCCTTAAGCGTCTGCCTTCGGCTCAGATCATGGTCCCAGGGTCCTGGGATCGAGGCCCACCTTGGGCTCCTGCTCAGAGGGGAGTCTGCTTCTCCCTCTCCCACTCCCCCGCTTGTGTTCCCTCTCTAGCTGTGTCTCTCTCAAATAAATAAATAAAATATTTAATAAATAAATAAATAAATAATCGCCCCATCATTTAATAATCGCCCCATCATTTATACGTTCTACACTTAGCTTTCCCTATTTTTGTTTCCGATGCAGCAGGCTAACGCGGCATGCACACTTCCTTCAAGTCTTTCACAACATAACGGACGTGGTGCGTCTGTGCCTACTGCTATCGGAATGCTCCTAACGCTGAGCTGAAATAATCCTTTGGTGTATCTGTCTTGCCCCAGGTCCTGGTTGCTTCTAGAGGGCAAAGGAGTCCGAGCCTTCTTACATGTATATCTTTTGCTCCCAGCACAGCGCCACATAATTACTACCTGTGCAGTGATGTGACGTGGTGAAGTCATCTAATGAAATGTTTAAAGTTTTCCAGAAGAGCCATTACAACCTCCAGACTTCCTATAGATCCTGCTCTGACAAAAAGAAGGCCCATTTTCTTGGTCATTCTATCCCAAATAGCAGTCACGTAAAGAATTACCTTCAGTGAGATATCCAACTTCCAGACAAGCATTTCCAAACTGTGCAACTTGACACACCAAGAAAAACACAACACACACTAAGCAAATTGATTTGGCCATGCAACCTTCTTGCAAAACTAATGCTCCATAGAACCCCTTTTGAGAAATGCATTCTAGATATACCCAATTCAAAACTGTGTGACACATAGCCCAACCTCAAGAATTTAATATGGCATGTGGCATGGCAGTCAGCTGATGACTTACCTTTCCTGCTCCCACAGGTCCGATCACAGCTAACAATTCCCCGGGTCTCACGGTAAAGGAAAGGCCTTGTAGGGTTGGCGTTTCTGATGCCTACAAAGTGAAGTTTCAATAAAGTAACACAAATCACCTCCGGAAGAAAATAAAATCATAGTCACTGATATGTGAACAGAAACCACATCTGTCTCCTTCCTATTTGAAGATACTGTGTCCTGGAGTCCTTTTCACTCAACTCTATTTCTCTGGGGTTTAGCTGCCTTTCGGAAGACCTGTTCTCCTCTTGGATTTGCGTATGAGCCCAGTTCTAGACACTCACAGAATTTAAGTGGTAGAAATAACAAGGCACCCTACTGAAATGAAAATTTCTTAGCACACAGTAACATTAGAGAATATAGTTAACAGAATATTCAGTATGGGAGGGGATTTTTGTCACAATTTAAAAATTCAATTTAGTTAACATATACTGTATTATTAGTTTCAGGGGTAGAATTCAGTGATTCCTCAGTGGCATGTAATACCCAGTGCTCATTACATCATGTGCCCGACTCAATGCCCACCACCCAATTACCCCATTCCCCCAACCACCTCCCCTCCAGCAACCCTCAGTTTGTTTCCCAGAGTTAAGAGTCTTTTATGGTTTGCCTCCCTCTCTGTTTTTTATCGTTTCTCTTCCCTTCTCCTATGTTCATCTGTTTTGTTTCTTAAATTCCACATATGAGTGAAATCATATGGTATTTATCTTTCTCTGACTTATTTCGCTTAGCATGATACACTCTAGCTCCAGCCATGTCATTGCAAATGGCAAGATTTCATTCTTTTTGATAGTTGAGTGGTATTCCATTGTATATATACACCACATCTTCTTTATCCATTCATCAGTCAATGGACATCTGGGCTCTTTCCATAGTTAGGCTATTGTGGACGTTGCTGCTATAAACATCGGGGTGCATGTGCCCCTTCGAATCACTATGTTTTTGTATCCTTTGGATAAATACCTAGTAGTCCAATTGCTGGGTCATAGGGTAGCTCTGTTTTTAACTTCTTGAGGAACCCCCACTGTTTTCCAGAGTGGCTGCACCAGCTTGCCTTCCCACCAGCAGTGTAAGAGGGTTTCCCTTTCTCTGCATTCTCACCAACATCTGTTGCTTCTCCTGACTTGTTAATTTTAGCCATTCTGACTGGCGTGAGGTGGTATCTCATGGTGGGTTTGATTTGTATTTAGTATGGGAGGTTTTTAAAAGTTTACATTATGACCCTTGGTTTTAATCTTCTATTTCATTAACTCCCACAAGGTGGCAGCATAAGTACATGGCATGCCGGGGACCCTTTGCTAAAAAGTAATTTGAAATCTCCAATAACCTCTCCAATTCTCATTTGGTAAGGAAGGAATCTCAGTAATGCTCACGAAGCAAGAAGGCACTTTACATTATAAGGTCACTCTGGGCAAAAAGACTCCTGTCAGTGGTGGTCAAGGCTGTAATCAGAGATCAAACTTAACACCAACAAAAACACTGAGTAAATGAGAATGGGATTGTGGGCCACAGTGATAAATTCTGAGTTTTCTATCTGTAGCATGCTTACCTGCCCTAAACAGGGATAGCAAAGCACTTCTACTGTTAAAGACACATGGAGGTGTGCACGACAGCACAGAATCCAACACAAGGAAAAAGGATAAAGCAAAAATCATGCTAATCAGAAGTTGTATTCCTGAACATTCTATAAATTCTAAGACTTACAGTGTTAAGAAAATTTTAAGTACTCATGTTAAAAAAAAAGTTCAGTTTTACAGTTCCACAGTTCAATCTATTCCTTAAGAGATCAAATTAGATTCACTTCCATATAGAACTTCCAAATATTAGAAAATCAATTGCTAAGAATGAAGGGTGTATTGGAGGAAGAAGGGAGAGCTTAGCAGAGCATGGTAAAAACCAAAACGAGGTTTCCTTTTCTCATTCAACAACAATCAATACTTAGAATTATCTATCTTTTAAGCAAAAGGCAGAGGGTACAAATAAGTAGAAGGATAGTTTAAATTGAGATTATAGAACCTCAGTAGTAGTTGCCAACTCTAAGAATGTTAGTCTAAACCCAGATATGAAAACTATCAGAAGACTGACACAGAACTGTTTAAGGTGAAATTTAAAAAAAGAGCCACTATATGGGGATAATCTTGACTGTGGGCTTTGTTACCCCTGTTATGATCTCCGCCTACTTTCCCCTGGGATGCTTCTCTGAGTCCTGACCATGCACAGCCCCATGGCTGAGGATCTAGTGAATTTATCTGAATCCCAAACCCTTTCTGAAGACCGCTTTTAAGTGGCTAGCGTTCTGCAAACACAGGTGGAGAAAGGTCCTCCCATATCACAGGAAACTGACCAAGAGTTGATCCAAAGCAATGCCACCTCCTGCATTCTAGAAAAGGATTCTTCAAAAACAAAGGGCAGAAGCTGCTGTTCAGAACATCCCCTGCAAGTAAAATGACCTGGGATGGTGGCAGGAAGAATCCCGCCCACGGATAAGCAAAAGCAGCAGAGTTTGGGCAGCCAAGTTAACCTTCCCACAAACAGGTGCAGACCTGAACGTTCCGGTCATGAGCTTCAGGACCTCTCTCTACATCTTGAGCGGGTACATGCAATTAAGAAAATGCCCAAAAGACTAAATGCACAGCAGGAGAAGTAAAAGGTCTGGATAATCGTCAAAATGAAAAATTTCTCTGGAAAGAACTGAATTGATTATAAAATGGGTACGTGCTAAAACAACGATAATTGCATTTAATCACCAAAGAAAAACCAGCCTCAGATTTTATCAGAATTCTAAAACCTATTAAGAACCTGGATTTCAAGGGCGCCTTGGTGGCTCAGTTGTTAAGCGTCTGCCTTCAGCTCAGGTCATGATCCCAGGGTCCTGGGATCGAGCCCCGCATCGAGCCCCGCATCGGGCTCCCTGCTCGGCGGGAAGCCTGCTTCTCCCTCTCCCACTCCCCCTGCTTGTGTTCCCTCTCTCGCTGTGTCTCTCTGTCAAATAAATAAAATCTTAAAAAAAAAAACAAAAAAAACCTGATTTCAAGAATAGAAATATTTTTTTAAGCTTCTCCACTCCTTTCTTCATGTCTCATAACTAACTAGTTCCTATTTTACTACATTTGACTCAGTTACGGCTACAAACTAATAAGCCACATACCAACACTGGCTTCCTGCTCCCCGCACCCCAGAGTTTCTTGCTGGGGCCAGACAGGGAGTCGCTTCCGTATGCAGGCTTCAGGGTCGGGCGCTGCTCGAGCGTGACCAGCAGGGGGCAGCATCTGACAGTTCAGGGGCGCTCGGTCTCCACGAAGGCAAGGCACACAGACCGGGCCTGCACTCTGTGCCAGACACCTGCTGGGCCCCAGGGAGGCAGCCAGGAACCACACAGACGAATACTCCTGCCCTGTGGCGGCTTAGAGGTTCCCACCAGACCATGAACTTCAAAGCTGACAGACTGAAACTAAGTGCATTACACTTCGTGAATGAAACCAGGTTGGGGAGACCTTTGCCCAGCGACCCACCCGGCTGTCTAGTGCAGCTGGTTAGAACGTCCACGTCCTTCTGCCTCCCAACCCAGCAATCGCATTCGGCCTCAGCTTCTCTCCCAAAGCCCCAAGGTCTGTGCCCCTCCCCACACCCAAGGCTCCCTCATCTGTGACCTAACCTGACAGGCCCTCATGGCTCCCGGCAGGAGGCACAATCCTTCCACTGACGAGGCCGGGACACCAGAACGGGGTGTCCTGTCCTACAGTGCAAGCTGCAGAAAAGTCTTGAGAACATGTTAGTGAGTATTAGGGAAAAGAACAGAACCGCTCGTTCTACGGTGCTGCAGGGTTTGGCACAAAAGCCACCTGGTGACGGGTCATCATACAAAGTGTGTGTTAACCATGTCAGTGCTTTCGACTTCCACGGCATTCACAGAAGGGAATTTCAGCGGTGCTTTCTAGAAGTGCTTCCAGTGTAATCACGACGAGCACGATCAAGCAGGAGGGAATCTGCTGCACCAAGGTAGAAACGGTCAGGTGAGGTAAGGCACCTGGTGTGAGCGTCCACGTGCAATGGTGTGACGTGGCTCCCTGCGCTTAGGCACATACTACTGTTTGGTCGGTACGGACGGCGGGCATCGCGTGAGAGGTAGGCCAACAAGGCATGGGTGGCAAGATACGGAGTCACAGGCACGAAAAGACAGGCAGGCTCCAGGGTTAGGACGCTCGCAGCCCTGAGAGCAGGGAGACCGGAGGGGAGGTGGGCAGAAGTGCCGGGGGGGCACCTGGGTGGCTCCTGGCCCCACTCCTCAGCCTCCCCTTCCTACGCTCGCAGCTGGCTCCTGCCGACCTCCAAGCCACCTGCAGCTCAGCCCTGGAGAGCACCGCTCTGAGGCCAGGAGCAGGACAGGGGGTAGGCTGGCACCCACAGCACCTCCACCTGCCGCCTCACCTCTGCGGTGCCCACAGAGCACGCCCTCACACCACAGTCCCCACTCCTGCTGGCAGCCAGGCTCCTGAGCTCGGCTCCAAGAGGGTGACCCTCTGGTAGGGGCCGCCTCCTCCCTGCATCCCTCCCGCCATTGCTCATCTCTCGGTTGCCTCACACAGCACCATTCGCCCCCTTTGCTCCTTGGTTCTTTCACTGCCTCGGTAACAAATTCCCTCTCTGGTGGTATGAGGTCCGTTTGCCTGACTAACCCAGACTCTGACGGGAGATGCGTATAGAAGACCAGGGAAGCAGGCAAGGAAAGCATTTCAGTTTTGGACAAGGGAGGCTGCACTGGGCCTGCAAAGCTGAGAACGTGAGAGTGGTCTCTCCTGTATTTCCCATTTGCCTAAATGTCATAAATAAGCCAAGTGTCAGAAAACCCTCATGACCTCACCTATTCTGTCAGCTTGCCACGGAGCGAAACCCTTAAGTGGGGAATCACTGGCACCTACTAAGCCCGCCTGCTGCCTCCTCCCTGCCCTTGGCGGCCACCAAAGAGCCAGAACCTTCCAGAAGCTTAGCACAGGGGGGCCATCACCCTACCCCACAGCGAACATCCACATCATGGGCTTCATTCAATGTGTAATAAGATGGTCTGATAGCATCAAAGTTAAAAACATATACAGATTCCCCAAAGTCTCTCATCTATAACAATGCATGTTTGTTAGTTAACCCATTCTGTACTCTATCACTTGTCTGTTCAACCCTATAAATTCTAACATTGCAAACTTATGTACTTATTCAAAAAAATGTGATAATACTTAGGTCTCTTAAAGATGAGATAACGAACAACATGTCAAATGCCTTCGACTGATTTTATACTTAATCTCTATCTTTTGAGAATTTTTATAACATACTCTCAAGTAAATGAGGCTAGTCACATTTTATATGGTGTGAGAAAAATCTCAAAATTCACTATTACATCTACATGCCCAGTTGTCCTTTAGTAGTTGTGATTTCGTAAGGGAGAGGATTCGTTACCTTATCCCAAAAGGCAGTGAAGTCTTGCACGTGCACTATCATTTTACCATCTGATGGCAGCTGAGGGGTGCGCTGTGAGATCTCATCAAGTAACAGAAAGTTCTGCAGAAGAAGGAAAAAGGCAAGTTGAACTGCAGGAACAAAGCATACGCAAAAGTAATTGCTTTCGTGGGAATTTGCAATGTAGCATTTTACACAGTCCGTACATCACTTTGCCAACTGTATTTGAAGGCTTGACAAAAATCACAATGCAGTATGTATTATATAATTATATAATAGAGTGTATATACACAAAGAGTTCACAAAGCTATCTTTGTAACCTTCTCAACAAGTGTCCTGATTCTTCCCTAAAGAGAAAATACAGCTCCAAACAGCGAACACATTTAGAACCCGGACATTTTTATTGTGTTACTTCTGTGTTATGAACAATAAACGGGGGAGTTGGTAGGAAATGATTTCCATAAATATTTACCTAATCCCACCATGTGCCAAGCACCACGCCAGATGTTGGGAACACAATGATGAAGGCCACCCTCCGGCCTTCAGGAATCAAGTTGGCCCAAAAGGACAGGCTGGGGACACGAGACCAATGGCAGAGACTCCAAATGAAAAATATGGCTCTGCCCATTTATTTACTGTGACCTTGCCCTGGGCGCTTAGGTACACTTTCTCCCTGGACGTGTCAAATCAGCATATCATTCGTCATTAACTATCCCTTGTCATCATTTTTTTTTTTTTTAATTTGAGAGAGAGCGTGTATGGGCAGGGGTGGAGGGAGGGCGGTGGGGGGGGTGTTGACATTGAGAGATGCAGACTCCCCGCTGAGCAGGCGAGCCCCATGTGGGGCTCGATCCCAGGACCCCGAGATCATTACCTGAGCCAAAGTCAGATGCTTAACCAACGGAGCCACCCAGGTGCCCCTCCCTTGTCATCATTCTTAAAAAAAAAAAATGCTCCTAATAAGTTTCTAGCTCTTAAAAAATATTTTATAAGCGTTTTTCATTCTCCCTGTCTTTTCTCCTTAGTAAATACCCTCAGCAGCCAAAATGGCTACATCTTGCACTTCCTGCTCTTTTCCACAGAGTTAGCTGCTGCCCACTGCAATCTGACTGAATTAAATGAAGTCCTGCTAACCTTAACAAATGTAACATAATCACATATATAGGAAAACGCCTTCTTGCTCTGCAAAGGCTAGACATAATTCCACGAGAAAAGCTGCATCGGTACAGAAATGAGATAAACAACCAATACCACTTCCCCCCCGCCCCCAAAACTTTGAACGTGTGGCAGACTGTTAACGGCCCTCAAAATCTGCTCTCATTCTCCTGGGGAAACAAGACCCTAATTCACAGCTGGTGTGTGGCAGCCTGGAAAAGGGACTCCTCTTCCCAGCCTCCCAAGGAGCTGTGTGTAGCCACATGATTAAGTTCAAGCCAGTGGAAGTAACAATGTCCGAGAACCCTTTTTCCACCCAGTGGCTTGGAAGCTGTCAGCTTAGCCAAGGCCCCACACAGTGAAATAATAAGAAAGAAAGCGTCTGGGTCTCTAACACCACAGAATGAATACTAGCCATGGAACTTCTTAGGGGGTGAACTCTGTCCTCCCAAAAGGATATGCTGAAGTCATAAACCCAATGACCTCAAAATTTGACTTTATTCAGAAATGGGATCATTGCAGATGCAATTAAGGTGAGGTCATAATGGAGTAGGGTGAGCTCTAAATCCAATGAGACTGGTGTCCTTATAAGAAGATACAGAGGGGCGCCTGGTGGGCTCAATCGGTGGAGGATGTGACTCTTAATCTCTGGGATGTGAGTTCGAGGCCCACGCTGGGTATTGAGATTACTTAAAAATAAAATGTTAAAGATGCAGAGACACACAGGCAGAAACCAGCGAGGAGACGATGAAGACAGAGATCAGAGTGACGGCAACAACAAGCTGAGAAACGTCATGGTCAGCCGGCAACCACGAAGCCAGAGAATGCATGGAAGGAGTCTCCCTTATGGCTTTCAGAGGGCTCGTGACCTTGAGGACACCTTGATTTCAGACTTCAGGCCTCCAGAACTGTGCAACCACAAATTTCTGTTGCTCTGATCCACCTAAGTTTGTAATACTTTGTTACAGCAGTCCTAGGAAACCAACACACAACCTTAGGAAGATTTGTGCAGGAGAGAGAAATCAACTACCCTGTGTACGCAGCTTTCATGTGGTTATTCTGGGGCAAACCTAACCCTAACCAACGTAGGAAGCAACTGAAGTAAGTCTGTGGAAGCATTTTCGGGAAACAACATATAAGTCACCTGCTACTCCAGAAATCGTCAACACGCTTGAAGTCATTAAAATCCTTCTACCAGTCACAAAGCTACAAATCTGAGTTCCACGTTCAACTTCAAAAGAACCGGTAAAAGCCGGACGTGCAAAGTTTCCTCTGTGCAGGAAAACATACTCCTGTGCATTTCTCCCAAAGAGCCAGCTGGGGTGAGGCGTGGACTGCTCACTCATTCCCCACTCCTCCGGGCTCGCTGGGGACCCTCCTCCTGCCCCCCGGCGGTGTCGAGCAGGGCAGCAGAACGGACAGACAATGAGGGTTCCCTTGCAGGCTTTAAAGCCAGCCCGGCCCAAACTCTCTTTCCCCACCACCTCTCCCATCGTCAACCAGGTACCAACTCTTGCCTCTTCTGCCACACAGTTCAGCTCCTTCCAATTCTTCATTCCTCTTGAAACAACGTAATTTTGGAATGTCACTAGCAATTATTTATGATACTGACACAATTTTTTGCTGTCTCCCCGTACCTCCTGGTTCCTTCCCCCAGCAGCCCCAACAGCACCAAACTTATCCCAAACACCACCCCCTACTGATCTCACTGAAATACCTCTGAGAATGTCCACCATGCTTAAACCCTTCAGTGACCCATGAGCACCTCAGTCCGCACTCCCCGAGTGGCCTCTACCGTGATACCCTTGAGTACTAAACCCACCCATCCTTCCCAGCCTGCTTCAGATGCTAATCCTCCTGGGAACCAGCTCACAATGGCCCCAGCTGTCACTGCCCACCCTACTTCTGAGTCCCCAAAGGGGATGTCAAGTCACAGTGAGGGAGAAGACTATGCCATTCACACACTTACAAACAGCCTCAGCTCCCACATAACACTGAGCTTCACAAAGGGTCAGCACATCACGGATATCCCCTAAAGGTACAAGCAGACCGTATGACTGGTTCAAGTGAGTCTAGCCACTGACTACGTCGTTACAGTCCGACACAGTATGCGTTAACACGGTATGAGTTAAGTATAAGGCAACAAGCAGGAGGTTATAAATGGTATAAATCTTGTCTAGACAGAATATAATTCCAATTTTATAGCATAAGCATATCACCAAGATATAAAATTCAATATTCAGTATGTGCATATTAGAATAGCAATTCCCCCCACCTTCAAGAAAAGAAAGAGGGACGCCTGGGTGGCTCAGTCGGTTAAGCGTCTGCCTTCAGCTCAGGTCATGATCCCGGTCCTGGGATTGAGTCCCGCATCGGGCTCCCCGCTCCACGGGGAGCCTACTTCTCCCTCTGCCTCTGCCTCTCTCTCTCTCTATCTCTCATGAATAAATAAATAAAATCTTTAAAAAAAAAAAAAAAGAAAAGAAAAGAGAAACTATGCACAAAGTGAGAAAGTAAATCTATTGAGCATTTGTCCGGAAATAATAGGTCTGAGTGGAGAAAGAAGTCACAGTCTCCCGGGGGTTAAATGAGACTCCACTCAACACATGAACGGCTTGGAAAGGTGCCAAAAGCGCTGACTGGATTTTTCTCTAGAACTCAGGCTGATGAGAAGGCTGACATTAAATCGCCATTACAGCCATGAAGTGCATATCCAGAGCAGGTCATGCGGGAAAGTATCAGACATCAGGACTCAAGCCAGAAAAAATTGACTTCGGAGTGGCTCGTAGGCAAAAAGCCTAAGCAGCTTTATGAACAATATAACCTCAAGACACACATTACTGGGTGTAGACGTTGTTAAGACTCCCAGTGCTTTGAAGTTAAGACAAGATCTTTTATAATCCTATTGGACTCGTTCAATGTCACTAAGAGAAAAATAGAAGGAACTTCCTGGGCCTCTAACCTCATAATAAATCTTTCATTTTCAGTACATGGGAAAAAAGGAAATTGAAAAGTATGTGTAAAAAAGAAGAGAGTACACTACACAGCCCACCTGAGGCTTTCCCCCAGGGTTGTAGACCATAGCGCCATCTTGAAGGGGGAAAGGTCTGCTGGATTTACCTCCTACAACTCCCAAATGCAGTCTTCCTGGAAATCATGCTGGATGGCCTGCCCAACCTACCGCGTCCAGGCTGCAAGAGACACTGTCACAGCTCCTGTGTGCCCACCAAGCTTCTGACCCTACAGTCAGACCTCACCTAGTCCTGACCTGCGCATCTTTTCTTCCTCTCCTGCTGCCATTTCTACCTCTAACTGCACGTTAACACATCTAAGTGAGAGGCACGGATAGGAAGAAGAGTGAACACTGGATCAGGGCACCTGGGTGGCTCAGTCGTTAAGCATCTGCCTTCGGCTCAGGTCAGGATCCCAGGGTCCTGGGATCGAGCCCCACATCAGGCTTTCTGCTCAGCGGGAAGCCTGCTTCTCCCTCTCCCACTCCCCCTGCTTGTGTTCCCTCTCTCTCTCTGTGTCTCTCTCTGTCAAGTAAATAAAATCTTAAAAAAAAAAAAAGAAGAGTGAACACTGGATCAGTTCATTCTATTCAGTGCCTATCACCTCTGTCAGGAACCCAAAGTCAAGACGTGCTCCTGAGTGGCTCTCAAATCTGGCCCCGGTCTATTCCAGCCTAATCCAAACCACGTCATTCCGTTCCTGGACTGCATCTTCCAGCTCTGCCCTGGGCAACCACCCCCACCTCCTCTGATCCAGTCCCCAGGCTGCAGCCAGAGTGAGCTCTGAGAAGGCAAAACACCTTCAAGTTGTCTGTAGGGGGCTGCATCCCCTGCTCAGGCCTCCAGCACTCTCTATTCTGCAGCCTCAGACATTCCTGGTTCCTCAAATTCATGGATCTCCTTTTAGTGTACCAAGCGCTCTTTGCTTTTGCCACATAACTATCCCCACAAAAATGCAAAATATCAGCCTCCTACCTCTCGCAAACGCCTCTTCTTCCCCACCCCCTCCTAACGCCCCCAACATGTAATTCTCCGGGTCACTCCTTCAGCCTTGCCAGGAAGCTTACCTCCAAAATTACACCAGTGTGTCTGCAAAGCACCTCAGAGCACCTCAGACTCCCTTTCAAGGACTAATGACACAAAACACACATTAACGAGTGTCATTGTTTCAGTATTTACCAACCCTCACTTGATGACACATAAATTCCAAGCAGGAAGGACTTCTGTGCATTATCATTGTATATATACATCTAGCGCAACCCCAGGCTTAAGGTAGGTGCTCAGTTACTTTGTGGAGTGACTGAATGAATTCCAAATGGGCTCTCTAAAAGTCCAGCATAAACCAAGACAGCTGTTAGTTTCTCCTCAACTGATTTGTCTTTTTTCTTTTTTTTAAGATTCTATTTATTTATTTGACAGAGAGAGAGAGGGAGAGAGCACAAGCAGGGAGAGGGAAAGCAAGAAGCAGGTTCCCAGCTGAGCAGGGACCCCGACGCAGGGCTGTATCCCAGGACCCTGGGATCATGACCCGAGCCGAAGGCAGACGCTTAACCAAATGAACCAATGAGGCACCCCTCAACTGATTTTAGTCTTAACATGATCCTGACATCGTTTATATTGGCTAAGCACATCCTGGCTTTGTGTGCTTTTTTCCGTGGGTGGGGCAATGGTCTCCACACGAGGCATATTTTCAGATACACAAGCACACTTGCCTAAGACATAGATACCTTGGGCTCTGCATGACCCGGGGAATCAGAATCTCCAACGTGTGATAATTTAGTTCTAATAAACACTCCAGGTGATTCTGATGCACTCAAGATTGAAATTTCTTAAAGGGTTATAGAAACCATACGGGCTGAAAAAGAGTCTAAGATCTAAAAGAAAATAAGAGGGGCGCCTGGGTGGCTCAGTCGTTAAGCGTCTGCCTTCAGCTCAGGTCATGATCCTGGAGTAACGGGATCGAACCCCGCATTGGGCTCCCTGCTCGGCGGGAGGCCCTCTTCTCCCTCTCCCACTCCCCCTGCTTGTGTTCCCTCTCTCACTGTGTCTCTCTCTGTCAAATAAATAAATAAAATCTTAAAAAAAAGAAAGAAAGAAAGAAAAGAAGATACTTCGATAATTACATTGACACCACCCTGAAGCAGTTTCCCACACTAAACACCCCCTTCGCACCACTCCTCTGCACAAACACATCTAGATGTTATAGTGAGAGTAGTTTTTAGATGAGATTACCATTTAAATCAGTGCACTTTAAGTAAAGCGAATTATCCTCCATATTGGTGGGTGGGCCTCACCCAATCAGTTGAAGCCCTTAAGAGGAAAGAAAAGACTGACCTCAAAAGACGAGAGAATTCTATCTCCAGCCTGCCCTCTGACTCGAGATACACTTTAAAGCTGCGTGGTCTTAATCTTCCTTTATTTCATGATGGCCAAACTAATGTTGCTGACCAAGTAAGACTGGCGTTTCTAACTACCTACGAGGCCCAAGAGCCGAGCCCAGAAGCCAGGCCAGCAGAGTCTACATTGACTATGCCTCACTAAGATCCACCAAGTCCAGCTGGGCTGGTCTGAGATACACAGATGCACACAGAATGGGGGAGATGCAGATAAAGACCCAGCTCCCCTGGGCCAGGACCCCCTCAAGGCCTGCTGTCCCAGGAATGCCCATCCAGTCTGCTTCCTCACTGCATTTCTCTAGCTTCTAGTATAAGCTGGGCCACCCTGCACCTCTGCTGGTCCCAGCCCTTTCCTGTAACTTTTGCTTCAGTCAATCCAGTATTTATCTGCTGCCCATGACGTGCCCAACATGGTACTAGGAGAGCAATGTAGACAACATAACAGCAGGTAAGAAAGCAGGGTCTGGGAAAAAGCCCCGTGCATCACTGACGGGCCGTGTGCAGATGGCCACGCTGGCCCACCTCCTGCAGGAATGCTTTCCCTACCTGTCACGTGGGGACACTCATGCTTCCGTGTTGCGGTCAGGATGAAAGGACATCATGTGCCCGGACACAGTAAGCACGAGCTGCAGTGGTGACAATTGCAGAATTCCAGGAAAACTTACATGGGAAGCTGGAATCTGGAAAAGTTCTCTGTACACTTAGAACATTGCTACGGCCAGGCCAAAGTATGCCCCCAGATATGCTCTTTCAAGATGCAAAAGCTACATAAGAGAAATGTTACTGAGGGGCGCCTGGGTGGCTCAGTTAGTTAAGCATCTGTCTTCGGCTCAGGTCATGATCCCAGGGTCCTGGGATTGAGTCCTGCATCAGGCTCCCTGCTCAGAGGGGAGTCTACTTCTCCCTCTCCCAAATAAATAAATTTTTTAAAAAATCTTTAATAAGATAAAGAAATTTTATTGAAATGCATGGGTCACCACTTAAAAGTTGCTGGAAGCCGCTGTCGGAAAGAATGATAAACTTGGGGACCAGAACTGACCCCATAAGACCGAGCTCTCTCCTGGGTAATAATTTTTAATAGGATAGAAACTTTGTCATAAGAAAAATCTCAGCTTTTATGAAAAAACTATTAAAAAAAAAAAAAGGAGGGCGCCTGGGTGGCTCAGTTGGTTAAGCGACTGCCTTCGGCTCAGGTCATGATCCTGGAGTCCCTGGATCGAGTCCCGCATCGGGCTTCCTGCTCGGCAGGGAGTCTGCTTCGTCCTCTGACCCTATCCCCTCTCAGGTGTTCTCTCTCTCTCATTCTCTCTCTCTCTCAAATAAATAAATAAAATCTTTAAAAAAATAAAATAAAATAAAAAATAAATAAATAAATAAAAGGAAAGGAAAGAGAAAAAAAGAAAAGAGAAGAAAAAGAAAAAGAGAAAGAGAAAAAATTCAAGCCCAGAGCCATCAAGCTCACTAGACCTGTTATTACTACATATCTAGCGCTGTGGAGGAATAGGAAAACCAGGTTTATTTGTAAAGCCCAGGCACTCAAGTTCACGCCCTGGCCCCTCACAGGGCCAATTTATCTTCATTTTGGACCTCTTTATAAACACACAAATACTTGAGCACCTACCATGTGTGGGGCCGCATCTTGGTGATGTAAGTTATTTGCCCTGAGCAATGTAGGGACAGCTAATTTGGAAAAGGAGGTAGTGGGTATGGTGGGCGGGGAACAAATTTGGAGGACCTTCCCAGAAATGGGCTGAGACAGGCAGAACGTGAAAGGAGACCCACAGGCATACTCAGAAACCACAAGCCAGGCATCTATGGAGGAAGGAACCCACCTTTCATCAGGGAGAAGCACTCGAGGCTGAGGCCATTCTCACTGCCTATGGAGCAGGGCCCTTCTGCAAGCTCTTCCCTTCTCAGCCCAGAGAGGAATCTTCCTCCCCGCCACCCCCCCACCCGCCTGCCCAGACTGCTACCAGTCGCTACCTAGTCATTCGAGATGGCCCAAGGGATGAAATCTGCTTGTGAATTTTCTGCTGCTGTAGACGTAATCACCCTGCAGCTACCACGATACCCCACAGCCCTGGGCCACTGCTGTTGATCTTGCTGCACGAGCAGCAACTTAGTTATCTTTAGTGCACTCTACCTAAGACGACGGGGAGGGGAATACGGACATCATTCTGCAATGACTGCTGGCTTTGATGCTGAGAAAGTTAAACCTCACCTAACCACAACATGGTGACACCAAAATCAAAACAGGCCTTTTGCTTACAATCCACCTACAACTTAAAAAGGTTGTTTGTTGGGGCGCCTGGGTGGCTCAGTCGTTAAGCGTCTGCCTTCGGCTCAGGTCATGATCCCGGGGTCCCGGGATCGAGCCCCGAGTCAGGCTCCCTGCTCGATGGGGAGTCTGCTTTTCCCTCTGCCCCTCACCCCGTTCACGCTCTCTCTCTCTCGCTCTCTCTCTCAAATAAGTAAATAAAAATCTTTAAACCAATAAAAAAAAAAGATAGATAAAAAGGTTGTTTGTCACCAGACCTTGATTCTTTGGATGCTGATGACCGCCTCGGACACCTTCTCAATGGCCGCGGGGAAGAAGAGGGTGACGGTCAACCGCACAGCCCCATACAGAGACATCGCCACAAACACATGGCTGGCTGTGATCACGTTGCCAAGAAGCACATAGGTGGTGAAAGTCACAAAAATGATGATTTTGCTTGCAACGAAAAACGATGCCAAATTCATTCCTCTGAGGTAGGAACTGCTCAGAATCTTGGAAATTTCCTTCCTGGAAAAGAGAGTAGGATACAGGTTTACAAGGAAGCATCGACATCCAAGTCGTGAATTCCAGTGCCTTTTGCATATGGCCCCTTTCCAGGGAGGGACATGGATTAAGACAAATCTTCCCTCAGTTATGGAAATATCCTACAGCACACAGCCCGGGGCCAACCCCAACACAAGGACCACATACTCATAACCACTTCGCTCATCTGAACTAAATGGAGGCTTCATGTCGCACATTAACATCCTGGGTCAATCCAACCGCATATGAACATTCAGTCAACAAACGTGCGTCAATACAAGTCCTGTGCTGGGCTCCTTGCTGATGGCAGCCAGACACACAGCCTGTCTCCTCTAGGAGCTCATGAACTCATGGGAGAAGAGAAAAAGCAACCTAAAATATATGCACGAGACAGAAACAGCTAGTAAGAGGCCCCATGGGCCCCCGGAGAAGAGGAGTCTCACTCAGAGCAGTGGAACCTGGGTCGGGGTGGCGGGGAGGTGAGCTAGGTTAGTCGGGCTCGCTGGGGCCTGAGAAGAAGGCAGCTGAGTGCATTCGAAGGAGAGGAAGATGCAGCTACAAAGCAGATGCAGCGGTGAGCAGGGGCACAGTGCGGACGTGGTGCTGACGAAGAAACACCGTGCGTGCGAGGGCCAAACGCACCAAATATTTAAATCAAAGACTGAAAACAATTCCACAAACATAAAGCAAAACAAAGAGGAACAGCATTTCCATGGCTCTGTTTCTCTGTTTGGCATGAATAATACTGATGTATACAGTCTGGCCCAATCTCTACAATCTTCCTATTTGTTCTGCGTTAACATAAATTATAGTTTCCGTGTAAATGTCCTACTTGCAAATACTACCAGCATTGCTTGTTTGGGATTTAGGGTATCAAGAAACATCTGGAGTTTTATTTTGTAGTAGTAGAAGCACATACACTCTCTCTCCTTTAAGAAGACAGTAAATGGAAAAGCGGGTTAAGACGGTATACAGCGCGAGGCGGGGTGGACAGTGTTTTAGTTCACATTCTAAACTTTCAACGTCCAAAGACGCCTCAAATATTTCAGTAAAGGCAGGAGACAGAAAAGTACAAAAACAGGCTGTGATATACACAGAATCTTACCTTCTCAAGTAGGTGATAAGGTCTGCAAATGACTTTTCCCAAGCATACATTTTTATTATTCTTATGCCAGTTATAACTTCATTCATGGTCCTGATCCTGACGTCTGTGAAGGTTGCGGTCTTACTCCTAAGGGGACAGACATGGGAGATGAGCCACAGGCCCACTTCCTTTATGACCACAGGCAGAGCCCAAGAGCCAGGGATCAAATGATTCCCTACAGCAGCACCTTTGCTCGGACGACACAGGCGGCTCCTACTCAAAACACAAATGGAAAAAGACTTCAATTAGGAAGTCAACAATCCATCCCAATTCAAGAAGTAATTTGGAGAACTTGCAATAGGGGCTAAGGAAGGCACAAAAGAGAGGCAGATACAAACCGTCTGCTCCAGGAGGTCATGGTTGGGTAGGGAAGGCAGAAAGGCCCCGGAATTGAACCATAATATGGTTGGCTGCAGTATAATAAAGTGGGACAACGTGCTGGGGGGCAGAAAAGAAAGGGCTGTTAATTCTACTGGGCAGAGGAGAGAGCAAGAGAAGCTTCAGAGTTCCGGTAGCACTGGAACGGGACCCCAAAGACACAGAACATTTCTCCATGGCAAAGGCAGAGCCATTTCCAAAGTGAGAAACACCATGAGTAAAGATACATCAGAGAAAACTGGATGCGCTTCAAACAGCGTATCATCACGCACCTGACAACCTTCACAGTGACCCACTTCTAACCCTCTGAGACCATCAACTCCTCTACCACATACGCTGCTAGGACTGTGGGACATATAAAGACACAATCGAGGCTGACCTTGCCCTTGGGGAGCTTGTAATTTAAGGGACACACTGAATTAAAAACAAGACACACACCTGCACACCTGAAAATGGTTCTAACACAAGCATCATAAAAATACACACAGCCAGGGGCGCCTGGGTGGCTCAGTCGTTAAGCGTCTGCCTTCGGCTCAGGTCATGATCCCAGGGTCCTGGGATCGAGTCCCACATCGGGCTCCCTGCTCAACAGGAAGCCTGCTTCTCCCTCTCCCACTCCGCCTGCTTGTGTTCCCTGTCTCTGTCAAATAAATAAAATCTAAAAAAAAAAAAAAAACACAATACACACAGCCAGACCTGGGCCTCGAAATGGATATTTAAATTGTACTATTATTTAATACATGTTTAAATAACTTCATCATATGTAAAGTCTGCTTGAAGACACTACTTATGAGGTACAGTGCCTGAAAAGCCAGCCGAGAGGAGCCAGCGGATGCCTTCCCCTCTCCAGCTGCAAGACTGGCCCTCAGCTCAAGGCCGGAGCCTCCACTGGCTAAAGCCGGAGCAGCCGACAATCAGCAGAAAGAAGAGATCACAGAAGACGTTTCGTTTTTGAACAGAAGCATGGGGCAGACCATGGATATTAACAAATACATACCACCTATTTTTTAAACCAATGATTCTCTTACCGGAACGATGAAAACAGCTTCCCGAGGCAGCTTTGCAAGGGCAGAAGGATAATCAGAACTGCAATCCCAGCAAGACAGGATATTCCTATTTCCATCCAGAGCAAGGCAGTCACTGCGATCGCCTGCAGTGGTCCTGCCCACAGAAAGTGCAAGAATATGGTCACCTTAAAAGAAAAAAGGATGCTTTCTTAGGGCAACAGGAACACAAACTCAGTAAGGACCCAGTAGAGAAACAACCAGCTCTGAAAAAACAGATGGGAACCTACACAGAAATGATCACAGTGGGTTTTAAACCTACTAAAGCAAAAATCCAAGGATCCACCCCAGACGAAGCTATTCCAGAACACCGCAGAGCAGGTTTCAGGGACATCCAGGGAACCTGACTAGACTACAGCATCCGAAGGAAGATCTCAATTCTGTCTGCCCCACGCACGGGCTCAGGGTTCCCCCAAACTTCCTCCCCTGGGCTCCCTGGTACCTCACAAAAGCCTGTATTATGGAACCTGGGAGGAAACTAAGTCTTATTCATCCCCAAAACTAAATAGGAACCCTAGTTCATGTTTGATGAATGAATAATTGGAAGAGAAGTAGTCTAGGGCAATACAGCTCAGACCAGCAGCTACAATGCCCTGGACAGGAAGGTATATTCACAAGGTAAGTGTAAATGGACTGTGGTAGGGTAGAAAAGAATAGCTTGTTTCTGGCTGGGGATTACCCATTTGGCATGTTTTTATCAAAGGCTTCCTGGGGCACCTGGGTGCCTCAGTTGGTTGAGTGTCTGACTCTTTGTTTCAGCTCAGGTCATGATCTCAGGGTCAAGGGATCAAGCCACACATCAGGCTCTGCGCTCAGCGCAGAGTCTGCTTCTCCCTCTCCCTCTGCTCCTCCCCCGCTGCTCATTCTCTGTGCTCTCTCTGACTCGTGCTCTCTCTCTCTCATTCTCTCTAATAAATAAATAAAATATTTTTCTAAAAAAATGGGGCACACGGGCGGCTCAGGCGGATAAGCATCTGACTCTTGATTTTGGTTCAGGTCATGATCTCAGGGGCACGAGATGGAGCCCGACGTTGGGCTCTGTGCTCAGCAGGGAGTCAGCTTGAGATTCTGTCTCCCTGTCGTTCTGCCTCTCCCCATGCTCACGCACGCTCTCTAAAATAAATAAATAAATAAAATCTTTTGAGGGGAGGGTGCTTCCTACGTAGCAGGCACTCTACAGGGCACAGAATAATCCCTGCCCACCAGGAGGTCATCATACATAGGAGGAGAAAGAATTCGGCCAGCAATATCAACACAGTGTGCTCAGAAGGGCCAGTCCTGAAGGACTATGGGACATTTCACCAGGCTGGGCAAGAACACTGCTGTGTGCTCACGTATAACTGAAGTATGCTGTAGATGCATCTGGAAAACAAAACTCTCCCCTACCGGACAACACATATTATTATATCTGAGTTGCACACTGAAGAAATGAGAACTGGATTAAAAAGTATCCTCATCTCAGGACGCCTGGGCAGCTCAGCGGGTTAAGCGTCTGCCTTCGGCTCAGGTCATGATCCCAGGGTCCCGGGATCCAGCCCCTCGGCGGGCTCCCTGCTCGGCGGGAAGCCTGCTTCTCCCTTTCCCTCTGCCTGCCGCTCTGCCTACTTGCGCTCTCTCTCCCCTCCCTCTGTCAAATAAATATATAAAATCTTTTAAAAATAAAAAAATAAAATAAAGTATCCTCATCTTATGTCCTCAACAGAAGTCTGGCCTATATGAAAAACTGGCACATGGAATTCCAAGACGTTAAACCAAGTAAGGGGGCAGGAGCACAAAGGCTCCCCAGAGGCAGCTGACCTGGTCAAACTTGTTCACGTCATTGGACAGCAGATTGACGATCTGGCCGGTGGTGGTCTTCCCCATGGCCACGTTACTGAGGCGAAGCGCCTGAAACAGAAGAGGGGAATGGAGAATCACATTCCTACAGTGATATCAAGCCACACTTAGGAAAGCAGCAAAGTGGAGTGTGCTTTGACGGGGCCTCGTATGATGTCATGCAAGCAGGGTGACCCGTGAGAGCAGGGCTCTGGGGACCTGGGTTCGGCCTTCCACTCCTCCATGTGGTGGCAGCCACATCCCACAAGGAACAAAGGGAGCAACTGGAGGTACAAGCCAACTCTCTCACCCCATTTTGTGATGAATTTGGACGTGCCCAAAGTATAAAAGGATGTATACTCGGGAGTCAACTGAAGTAATTTTGAGCCACATTCTGAGAGTGGAGAGGCCGTCTAAGGACAAAAGCTAGGGGACGGACTATACATCTGGAGTCAGTCATTAATTCTGCGTGTGACGTCATGCGAAAACTCTGGGTCTGAAGTCTCCTTATGTGAATGGAAATAACCCCAGACACTGTCTAGACAGGGCACAGGGTTCCTAGGAATGGGACACTTGTTATCAACCACGTGGAGGACACCAGGTGACTGATGAGTGGTGTTTCCCATTTAGAGATGGGACAAGATAAGGACAAGCACCTGTAACTCAAGTGGGACCTGGACAGTGGGGACAGCAGCACAGGGAGCTGGGGACGGTTTCCACTGAGTGACACTATGGGCAGGACAGATCCTGCATGATGAAGAGGAGAAACCCTATGGAGAGAAAGGAAGAGTACTGTGGCCGGAAGGAACAGCATGCAGAGCCAGGGAAGGGAAATGTAGAGGCAGTTGAGTAACGGATACCTGAAATCTGGCTAGAAAGGTAGAACAGAAAGCAGCTAGTGTATGGAAAACAAAATGGAACAGTAAACATCTTTTTACATTTGAGCGAGAAACTCAACTTTAGGAATATTGAACTGTAGATGCGACTGGCCAGGAGATGCTCAGAAGAAGGGGGGACGAGGGACAACTCGTGACATAGTCCAGGCAAGAGGTAACAAGACTGTGTGCTAGGATTGTGTGAAGGGAAAAGAAGGGCCAGACAGGGCACCTGGGTGGCTCAGTTGGTTAAGCGACTGCCTTCGGCTCAGGTCATGATCCTGGAGTCCCGGGATCGAGTTCCGCATCGGGCTCCCTGCTCAGCGGGGAGCCTGCTTCTCCCTCTGACCCTCCCCCCTCTCATGTACTCTCTCTCATTCTCGCTCTCTCAAATAAATAAATAAATCTTTAAAAAAAAAAAAAAAGAAGGGCCAGACATACATGAAAACACTTTGAAAAGTTATGAAGTGCTACACAAATGTAAATAAATCAGTCACAAAAAAAATACAACCCTCTCCCCACTAGGGAGAAAAAAAGAAAGAAACGCCCCTCTAGGAAAGAAATAAACCTCAGTGTGCCTTCACTACTGAAAGCTATTTTGAAAATATTTTTAAAGCCAATTTCACATACAAATACACGTGAATCCCTCATGTAGAAAAAAAAATTATAGAAGTAGACATCTGACAACTAATTGTAACAATGAAAATAAGACAGAATGCCACACAAAACTGATTCTAAAACTGATCATTTTCGGAAAAAAAAAAAAACCTCAAGACAACTGCACCCAGCTGGAATCGTCATTCACAGACGGTCACTGCTGCTGACAATGAGAACCAGAGGGTAAGATGGTGTAGATGACAATTTGTGCAAAAGACAAAGCTCCTCTCGGTGGACCATCAGGACACCTCATCATTCGGTTATGCCTGAGGCTGAGTACAGTGATGGATGAAAGACTGACTCTGGAAGAAATGCTCACATAAGTTAATGGCAGCCCTGCAGCAAACACAGAAATGAATCATCTGTCAAAAGAAAATCAGTCATACTCTAGCTAGGCCACAAAGAATAGTGGAGTGTCATTAATGTTACTAATGAGGAAGACAGAGCTTACAAGCAAACTGTCAGACTTCTGCTTCCAACCATGAAAGAATGGTCAGCACTGAACTCACCCTCAGTTGTAAAACTATAAAACTGGACAGAACATACAAAGCAGCTGTTTCAGGCACTGGCCCACAGGCGGCAAAGGACCGGGAGCCTTCAGTGAAGGGAAATACCAGAGCAGAGGCCCGTAACCCGCCTGGCTTTCTGCCCGGGGGCATTTTCTGCCCCAGTAGAACAGCAGTTTCACTGAGCCAAGGAGGAAGAGCTACCTGTTCCAAGTTGCAAAAATATCTGGAATTTGCAAGCCAGAGTGGCAGAAGGGTAGGCACCAAAAGTTTTTGTAGGGAGTTAGCAAAGGGGTTTAGCCGCAGCTGTGGGCTCAAGAGAGACTCCAAAGGTCAGACGAGGGACATGGAGTTTCTGCCCATCCAGAATAAAGAGATCTCTACAAGCACCTCAGACACTCCATTTAGACACCAGGAGGATCATGCCTTAGTAATAAAGATCATACTCTAGGGTAAGAGCCATGCACTTGGACAGAGTTTAAAATGGAAATATCTGCCATAGATAGATACACAGACACATAAAGTAGGAAGGTAGGTCGTTACACAGGTTGACAGATCCAATCCTGCCAGGAATTGCTTATAAGCACAAAACTCAATATGCTTTAGTCAAAGCCCCCTATAATATTACCCCTCATAACATCCAACATAATAAACAATTATTAAACATACAAAGAAGAAAATGTGACTCATGATCAAAGACAAAGAATACAGGCAATAGAAGTAGACCCTGAGATGATCCACTTTTTGAAATTAGTAGATAAGAACTATAAAACAATTATTATAAATATGTCCAAGGAGTTAAGGAAAATATGGTTATAATAAGTGAACTAGAATAGGTAATTTCTAGGAGAGCAATGAACACTATCAAAAGGAACCAAATGGAAATTTTAGAGCTGAAAAGTACAATATGAAAAATTCACTAGATAATATTAGTAGCAGAAAACTTCCATTAATCTGTTCCCAGATTCATCAACTCTTTTAGATTACAATCTGAAGAATAGAAAAGAGAGAGAAATTGAAGGGGGAAAAAAAGCATAAGGGTTCAGTGGGACAATATCAAGGAATGAAACATACATGAAACTGGATTTCTAGAAGAAGACGACAAAATAGGGAAGAAAAAATTATCTGAAGAAATAATGGCTGAAATTTTTCCAAGGTTGGTAGAAAATATTAATTATTATTATTTTATGTAAAATAGTCCAACATTAAGATTAAACAGACTATAATAAGCTAAGATGCCTATTTGATCTCTAAGGCAACACTAAAAACACACAAAGAGATACTGCTAAAAAGCCAATAACGGAGACTGTCACAAGGGATTAACAAAAGACAGACCTAAGTTGCTGTACACGGAAGATGCACTTTAAATACACTGACAGGTTGAAAGTGAAAGGATAAAAAAGATATGCCATGCAAACAATACGTACAATGAATGTGGTATGGTTCTATTAATATCAGACAACAGACTTTGAGACAAGGAATATTGCCAAAGATTAAGAGGGACATTTCATAATAATGTCAATTCACCACTCCTAAATGTGTACAGATCAGATTATAGAGTTTCAACATATATGAGACAAAAACAGAACTAAAGAGAAAAATGAGAAAAGACCACAATCATAGATTTCAGCATCCCTCTCTCAGTAATTGATAAAAGTATTAAAAAAAAAATCATATGGATACAAAGATGTGAACAACATTGGTAACCACCTTAATCTGACATTTATGGAACAGCACACCCAACAGCTACAGGACAGTTTTCTCAAGCACACACTGAATATTTCTCAACATAGACCCTATATGCTAGGATCATAAAATAAATCTCAATAAATTTCTAAACATAAAAATGTTACATAGAATGTTCTCTGATGAACAAAAGAATTAAATTGGAAATCACTAAGATAGCTCTAAAAATGCCAGATATTTGAGAATTAACCACATACTAATATATAGCAATGTGGCAAAGAAGACATCCTAAGAGAAATCAGAAATATTTTCAAATAAATGAAAATATACCATATCACAATTTGTAGGATACAGGTAAGCAAGTCTTAGAAGAAACTTCTGGCTTTAAATGTTTGACATTAAAAAGAAAGGTAGGTATAAAATTGATGATCTAAGAATTCTACCTAAGACTAAGACCAAAGAAACAGAAACACACACACACACAATCACTGTTCACACCTACAGAAGAGCCTCTAATAAAATCAATTATATGTCTGTTGCCCCCAGGACCTATCAGCTGATTTGAGTGCACAGGGCCTGTCATATTCATTTACATCAGCATAATCATAAAAACAGCTGATCTTTATTGAGCACCTACTACAACCCAGACAACTGAATAGGAAACAACCTTACAAAGTAAGAATTACTCCTATTTTGCAGATGAGAAAATAAGCTGAATATATTCATGCCTGACAGAGAACACTCGGTATTTTTTCTTTTAGTGAAGCAAAATTACCACTCTTCATTATTATAGAAAATTAAAGTGTAGTTCTAAGAAATTATATATGTTATAGTTGAAAAACAGTTCATGTTGGGTATAGAGAAAAAACAATGTACAAATTAATGCATCATCATCCTGCCAATGGTTTGGTTTCACATTTCCTTAAGTTGACAGGGTATAAAAGGATACTGTTTGATTAAATTTGTTTTCCTTGTGGGAGCACAATGGTTCCACCATGAGAGCAATAAAAAACAAACAAAAGAAACTGGAATCAATTATTTGCACAGTATATGCCAGAACCAGGATTAGTATCTTTACTAAATCAAGAGCACTTAAGTATCAAGAAGAATTATAAAATTCTACCAATTTTAAAAAGAATGGCAAATAACAGGTGCAGGAAAGTCACTGAGGTAAACACAAATGATTAATGAAAATTTTCAAATACTCAAATTCATTATTACTTAGAAACGTAAGTTAAAATAATGACAAAGCATTCTTCTTCATCTAGAAACTGGTGAAAGTAGCAAAGACAAAAAGTTATAACATCCAATCTCGGCAAGGGTGGGGGTCATCTCATTTTCCCAAAGA